TAAAGTATGAAAAAATTTCATCATCTTCAGGTTAATTTTAAATTGTTTCTTTTGAAAAAAAACACCCAAAAATTCCCTTCTGTGCAGTTAGTTTCTGAAAAGTCACATGTAATTTTAATAAGGCCTCAATTATTTCTAGATTCACTATTTTTTAAAGACATTGGCCTTACATTGCCATTTGAATGGAATAAAACATTTCTATTGTCTGTTAGAAATGTGACTTTCACTGAAACAGCAAAGTACATTTTATATAAATTCAATATTTTTATAAAGTACAAAGCATTTTTTTACCTTCATAGGCTGTTCCACACCAAATACAATACAAATGTTCTTGTCTTAAATAATTAGTCAATATTTGTAATTTTTCCAGTACCTAGATAGAGAGGATGCAAGTATATATTAATAGCTCACATTGAATAGAACCTTAGTTTTCTGGTTCTTAGATAACGCTGAATTAGCCTAAAGCTATAAATCTTCTCTAGAGCAGTTATTAGAGGTATCAAGGGCAGAAGTAATATATTCAAATAGATTCCAGTTTATTAGCCACCCTGAGATGTTCGTGCATCTGCCAGACACATTAAGGACTACTTGTTAACAGTCGAATAGTTTTGGCTGGCTTATTACAATCGGCATCCTTTAGAGACCCTTTCTGCCTTCAAGGTATCTATCGCCCTCAGATTAGGTGAAGATGAACACGGCCTCCTTTTGCCATACAAGGTCTCATCAGTTGTCTCCCAGTTAAGTGAAACATAGGCTTCTTAAATAGTGAATATTTTCTACAAAATTCTTATACTCAAGTAATCATAGGAATGTATCTTCCTTTCAAGAGTGAGCTTCACTTCTTTTTGATTGTTTTGTGTATGAATTACACATGCGGAATCGCTTCCAGATGTTTAACAGGAAACAAAGTATAAATTTAAATAATCTACATTTGCAGCGAATCCATCATCCAAACTGAAGCTGAGGTGAGAGGACAAATGGAAACTAAAGGGGAAAATTATATGAAAGTTTTGATTTAGGGTTAATAAAATAATCCTGTAATGCAGCAGTTCTCAACCATGGATTATTTTCCCCCTCAGGGGCCATTTAACAATATCTGGAGACATTTTGGGTTGTCAAACAGAGAGGTGCAACTGGCAACTCGTGGGCAAGAGGTCCAGGATGTTGCTAAATATTTTACAATGGACAGGACAGCTCCCCAGGATGGCCCAGGCTCCCCGTGCCAAGGCTGAGACACCTCACTACAAAGGAAATGGAACCAAAACTTACACTTAAATCTTCACTCTTATATTCATCTTCATCCTCCTCTTTTTCTTCCTCTTCCTCTTCCTCAGTCTCCTCCTCCAGCCTCAACCAGTACCATGCCTCCCTGGGAACCTGAATGTTCTAAAAATACAGAATTATTCTTACGTCAAGAAATAGCTCGACTATTAGCTAAACAGATTGACAAAGAGCTAAACCTGAGACTGTCTGTTCAGGTCAACATGAATTCATTCTTTCAATAGACACTTACTGAGTGCTGCTTTAAGAGTAAAAGCACTGTGCCCATGAACTATGTAGCTGAAAATCCAGTTAGAATACGATTTCCAAATTGCTGCTGACAGTGAGTGTAGCAGGAAAAATTTGCTATGTGTGTAAAATAATATATGCTAGGAAATCAGAAGCATCAAGAAATACATTCAGAACAAAATACTATGTAAATACAGAAAAGTGAGAGATTGTTTCTATTATATGAGGAAAATTTCACAAACATTTTGAGACTTGAAAGGAAGTTATTTTATTTTTATGGTACTTGTACATCTAAGATAAAAGCAAAGGCAGAATTGTTTTTAAACCATTCAAATTTGAAATAGATAGCACTCCACTTGATCTTAGACACATATAAGACACTGAGGATGAACTGAAAATAGGCTACGCTGCCTAATCAAATACTATGAAGAGCAGAATTTCGGCACTTACTAGTCATGAGTAACCAATATTCAAATCAACAGAGAACACGGACACGTAAAAATATTATTTAACCCTTACTAGATTTAGACCACTCAGCTTCTGGCAGTAAAACAGCCATTATTATGTTAATTACCACAAGTTAGTAGTACACATTAAATAGAAGTTCCAAAGGGTCCAAGGTTCGATAAACCAGGCTTGGAGTTTTCTTTTTTAATAAACATACATGGCGAATCATACTGGGTGCCACTGAGAGCCCCAGGGGAGGGGCTCACCTTCTGGGCATCCAGCTGCTGACAGGCCCGCTGGCTTCTCCTCAGATCTCCTTCCAGCTTCATTTCCTCTTGCTTAGTTTTCAGACGCATTCTAATCGAAAGAAAGAAATTGTAGGTCTATATTCTCTTTAACCATTGCATAGACCCAAGTAGCACGGAACATACAACAGCAAAGAGGAGAGGAAACCAAACCAGCTCCAACCCAGCTTTTTTTTTTTTTTTTTTTTT